GGGGGTGGTGTGCGGGGCCGGTGGTGCGGGGCCGGTGGTGGCCTGCGGGGTTGGTTGGCGGGGTGCGCGGAGCTGGGCGTCGGCGGGGGTAGATCTGCGGGGGCGGGGGTGRATGGTCCCCGCAGCGGGGGTCTGGGGCCCGCAGCCTCACACCGGCTTCGCCCCCGGGGCTCCCCGCCTGACATCGTTGGTTATTTTCAGCGGTAGTGCCTTCGCGGGTTGCGCCACGATAGATTGTTCCTCATAAGCATTTAATCAGGACTTCCTCAAAAAGACTCATATGACTCGACTCTTATCCCACGCCTCTCCGCAGGGGTAAAGCCCTCCTAGGCGTTCACGCCCCTTTAAGTCTTTACTCCCTTGGCCAGACGCAGGCCCTCTGCTCAGGTTGTGCCAAACAGCGACCAACACTAAGGGTTGCGCCTTAGTGATGCTAGTTATACCCCTAGCTGGGTCTCTTATAAATGTCCAAGATTAGCACAAGCGGCCAGACGGTGTGTCGCAACAATACAAGCCTACTGCGAGACTACGCATAGACCTGTCGCACATAAAAAAAAAGGTATTTACAAATTCCTTTGTGGGACAACACAGAGGAAGCACGGCAACCCTTCCACAATCACAAAACAAAATCACCGCCTGATCCACAAGGTCGTGGCCTCCCAGCTTGATCAGAGCAAGAAAGTCACACATCTTGATGACATCTCTTAAAACACATCATTTGTGACATCCAAGAAATTCACCAATAGTCCAACAAAAATTTGGTCCCTCTCATCAGTCTTTTATTACTCAAAATCAATCTTCCATTGACCAATCTTATTAACCACCTTATTTATAGAGGAGGTCTTACTTTAATAGGTCTCTCAGTTTTCCCTCTCTCACTAGGATGAGCTCTCTCGCGACCTTTTCTTTAACGCATCTTCCCTCTCTGAAGATGCGTCTTCCAAATAGATAATGGACAACCTTTCCATTCACAGGTGTCCCACTCATCATATACTCCATATAAAAAGACCAACTTGTGGGTCTTCTGCACAGCTCAACAATAGAACACTCACCATACGAATATTCAGGATCCTCACACCCTTTCACAAAAGAGATTGCGCTTCCTTGCCTTATACTCGGCCCTCTCATCCGCCCATGGGCAGATCGCACGAGTATACCGACGAGTAGACAGTTCACATTCATCCAGATTCACAAAGTACAAAATACATCAGGCATTTTCTTGCGCATATTTCACACCAAACCATCATCCATCAAACTAGCACAACAGAAGTGAGTGTGAGAATGATCATCTCGATATAATGTACACTCAGGGATAGAATATCACACATGAAATGCCTCCAACATACACTCAGGGGCAGAATGCCCCATACACAAAAGTCCCCAAATCGTAACCCACTCAACTTACTCAAAGCCACACTCACTCTGATGTTGTCCTCAAAGTACAAGTTGGGTCTGTCTCTCGAAGATCAGGGCGTAGGCCACCTAAGTATGTACAGGCCTCATCTACCATGTCTCGGTCCTCAAGATGGCAGACTCAACAAAAACCCAACCCATACTGCCTGACAACAGCGACAACACCTAGGTCTACAGAGTGTCATCCAACCCTAACTCTAGTCCTACACGCAACATGTCAACTATATAGGTAACTCAGTCCTGATCGCTCATCTCCTCTTGGTTTTGCCTATATAGCTGAGCCCTACCCCCATCTGTGGATCTCTCTACTCTCCTGCCCTGTCTATCATACATCTTGCCTCCTTCCTCTGTAACCTTCCCTTCAACCTTGTCCTTTAGGAACTTAGGACATTGCAAGGCTCGATACCACTCCTTTGTACAGAAGAAGCAGGACGTATCGAACCACTTCCTGGACCCCTTCTTTCCTCTCTTAGACCCTGGCGATGATGGCGCTTCACTGGCCTCCTTGCTCAACTCATGGCTATGAGGCATATCCAAGGGCTCCTCTCGTGTCTCCACCTCCTGGGTACTCGGTCAAGGTCGGTCCTCAATCCCCTCTGACCCATACTCGGGTGTGCCCAACCTCTGGAGCCCGCCCTCGATGACACCCTCAGACTCAATCCTCATCTCTCTCTCGAGAGGCTCCTCTATCCTCTGCTCAGGCGAAAACAAACTCGCCTCCTCCTGCATCGTCTTCTTCACATCTGGCCTTCGGCCTTTCTCGCTGCAGACGAACCCCAAGATAGCCGCTTCCCTCATGCAATGTCTGGATTTAGCCCCGCTCACCGTGAGGTTATGCTCCTCAAGCAGACTCAGGACTTTATCGAGGTCCTGGATGTGCTTCCAAACAAAGCGCCTTACCCCTGGCAAGACCTCGTCGCTCTCCTTTATTGCCGGCCCCTTCACCGCTAAATCATCGATCTATGGTTGTGTGATACGGGGGCTGACTGACTGCATAGCCCGAATCATGGCTCGTTGGACCATTGCTACCGCGTTGGTCCATCCCTGTGGGGCCACGTTCATGTGGATTAGTCCTCACGGCGTGTGCATAGCCGTCACCGGCCTATCCGGCGGGTAGACTGGAAACTGATCATATCCTGAGTAAAGGTCTATAAGTGAGATTATAGGCCTTCCAGCACAGGAATCTGACAGAGCATCTGCATTCAGCAATCCTCCAGCATCCCGCACGGTCACCGCATTCAGCCTCTACAAATCTTGCACCCACCGCAGCGTCCCATTAGGCTTGATGAAGCAGAACCATGGGGATGCATACGGTCCACTTGAATAGTTGGCGACGTGCGTACTTATCTTGCCGTCGAGGTTATCCACCACCTTCTTTTCCTTGTCAGGATTAGGATATCGCGCCCCTCTCATGTTCCAAGGCTCATGTGGTACGGTATGGATGCGGTTCATAGGTATCTTGTCCACGTCCAGCCTGCCACGCTCCTCGTCACTAAACGCATAGGCGTGATGCCTCATCTTCATTAACTCTACCATCAACATTCGCTCCTGAGGCAGCAGGAAGTCGGGTTCCCCTATAATCAACTTCCCCTCRTTCCCTTCGTTGATACGACATGGCCCTGCTAGAGCACTCTCCCTCATTCGCCGTATCAACCCTCGTTCCCTCTCGTAGTATGCTTCCTCATCTTCTGTAACGAGGACGGGAACCGAGCGGCACTTCTTATCTACCATCTTGTACCGCCTTTGGGAACCCTGCTTGAGCCGCCCCCTAAAAAAGGCCGACTCACAGACTGCGTTTGCGCTGATGCGGGACCCTTCCCGCCGCCCGGGAGCCGATATACCAGCTCCAACCTCCCTGCCTCAGGGCATTCCAGAACTTGTTCCCTCAAGGTCTGGATGGCATCCGGATCTGCCATCTCATGCGAGGCCACCAAGTCCATGGCCTTCCCGACGTCCAACAAGCTGAGGAAAAATGCTTCCACCCTCTCTCCTGCTTCGGGCTCTGCCCAGAGCCTCCTACGCTCCCCTTCCGACTCCTCGATTGTGAATGATCCTGGATTGGGCCGGTTCCTTATACTCTTTGGCCCTGTGTTCCTGCAGGTAATTATTTCGTAATTCCCGCAGGCAGGGTCGCATAGGAGGAGAATTAACGTCCCGTCATGCTTATTGAACATCACGGTCTCCGTCCTACTTAGGAATGACCTCCCTAGGAGGATTCCGTGATCCACATCCGGCATGATGAAGAAACAAGCCCGGACCTTCACCTTTCCAACCTCGATGAGTACATTCGAGGCTGTCCCACAAAATACGGCCTTGCAACTGGCTCCATGCAGAATACCGCAGTCAGAACGGTCTATATCCAGCCCGAATCTGATCGCGTCCGCCTCCCGGATAATGTTCATCCCAGTGTCCACCATTGCCGCGCACTTGGAACCCTTCACCACCAAATTCACCGTGCCGCAAGCTACACACTTCCAGACCATTTTTGTACCCGACTCCGCCCACTCAGCCTCCTTGGGCAGGATCATACCCAGATGGACATTGAGCACCAGGTGTCGCGACAATCTCCCCTTCAGTTCGTCGCGGAGCCGCGGGGCCGACGCTAGGATTTCCTTCAAGGTCATGAGGTCATTATGCCCTTCCATCAACCGGTCGATCACTTTCTCTACGTCAAATCCCTCCTCCAACCGAACCGCGTATTTCTTCTTTTTGGGCGGTCCGTCACGTATAATCGGTTCAACCTCTCCCCTGGTCCCCTTTTTGCTTGCCCGCTGCTCTGCTCTCTGATCCTTTTCTTGACGCAGCCTCTCGTCTTCTTCCTCCTCATCATCGTCGTCCTCCACTTCCACGACCTCTTTCCTCCTTCCTGGTTCGGGCTCCCTTCTCGGAGGTTCTTGGTTGGCACTGGCCTTGGCTTGACTTCTCGTTCGTGCTACCTGTGCCAGTCGGGCCTGTGGAGTGAGGGGTCTCCCCATCATTCCCGATTGTGGGCTCGGCCCCACCACATTTACTCCGGGTCGCCCAGGCGCTGACTCCGGACCGGAGTCGTACAGGAATACCTTGGGGATGCTAGACTTTCATTCCCTCACTTCTCTACAGAGGTTCACCAACCTCTGTTGGTACCTTCCTACCTTGTTCAGCACGTCCTCCATCTTTCCCAGTAAGACGGACGATGGTTCCACCATTGTTTCCTCGTCCTCGTTATCCGATTCAATGATTATGGACTCTTCCCTCTTACTTCCTCCTCGCGGCTCTTGGGTCACTTCCTCGTCGCTCCCCACTTCCTCTATCCCAATCGACGACTCTTCTTTTTCTTGTCATAGTCTGAGTCCCTCTATCCCCACCGATGGTCCTCTCTTCTCCCGCCATAACCTGAATGTGGCAGGAGGTAGGGACCCGACTGCCGCCCTCCGTTGGGCTTCCGCCCTTACTCCCCCGAGCCTTCTGTCGATGAACTTCCCAAATTAATCATAAATGTTCCCGTCCATAGTGGAGGAAATCAGGCCGCTTTTCTCGTCCTCCCGCTTTATGTTACAGAACCTTATAGTGTGGCCTTGCTGGTCACAATGTTGATAGATGGCTGACCTCCAATCAAAACGGGGCCTTCCGTATCCCTGGCTTCCCTAATCCCCCTGGCCTTGATACCCCTGGCCTGGGTACCCTTGGCCTTGATTCCCCTGGCCTTGGTACCCCTGGCCTTGGTTTCCTCGGCCTTGACTATTCCATTGCCCTCCTCTTCCGCCGCCATTCCTGCCTCGCCCCCTTCCTCCACCCCTCCCTCCGTTGCCTTGATTGCCCTGCCCCTGGTTCCCACCTCCAGCCACGCTTCCCTGTGAACTGGGGGCAGGTGACGGCGGCGGGGCCACAGGCTGGGCCTGGGTTGCGGGGTAGATGGGTGGCGGCATACTCATTTGTGGTCCGGCTACTGGCAGCGGGCTACCCCATGACACAATTGCATTGATCACCGGCCAGGGCCACTGTCCGTAGGAGGGTGCCCCTCCTTGCGAGGGGCCCTCACGAGACGAGGGCGCCGCCACACTTGGAGGGGCCGCCGCCACCGCCTAAGGCGCCTGCGCTTTTCCTGATCCCTGTTCGCCCTGCGCCAAGTTACGCACTTTGCGCTGGGCCTTCGCCAGGCGTTGCAGCACCGGCTCTTCCTCTTCCCAGAGCTCCTCATGAACAACATCCTCTACCACCGGCTCCGTTCCTTTCACTTGGACAGCCGTTACTACCCTCCTTTGCACCACCGACTCTGTCACATACCCCAACTGTGCCAATACATCTGTAACAATCCTTGTTACCCCCGGGGTCCCAGAAGCGGTTGCATCTCTTTTCTTTCAATTTTGCCTTTGCAGGCGCACCTGACGTTGCTCCACCTGGTCCAAACACCCAACTTTCACCCCTCTGTCAATAGTGGCCCAGGTGAGCTTGGTGCTACCCCCTCCATGTCTCGTCAGCTCAACGGCCTCCGATGCCGTGAGTAGCCCCAGGAAGATGGCGCACTGTGCCTCCTCAGAAATCCCATGGACCTTCCGCGCCCTCTTCTTGAACTCCTGAACAAAGACCCCTATCATCGTAGAATCCTCCTTGTTCATTGCTTCAAGGTCCGCAGTGGTCAATAGTCCATCTCCCAGGTGGTACTTCGTCTGCATTCCCTCTTTGAACCTTTCCTAGCTACCTTGGGCTGCATCTATAACTTTCTTCACCTCTTGGTGGTAGCTGTGGAGGACATACTGAATGATGCGTTGGAACTTTACAACGTCCGACCGCCCGACCAGAGCTTGTTCCACCCGCTCCAGCCATTCTGAGACTCTCTCCCCACAAAAATGGAACGTATCGACCTTGGGGATATTGTTTGGATTCCTTTCATGCCGGTCGATGGCCGCGATGAGGTCATCGAGCGTCAGGCCCTTCTTGGGTGCACCCGATGCGCCGCCAGTCTCAGGCATCTTGACAGCTTCTTCTTTTCAAGTTCCCTGGCAAGAGAAAACAAGCACATCTCCTTGTTCAACATTACACCTTGACCGGTCTACTCCATCCATCCTACCTAACCCTTAGTACTTGCTTTACCCAATGTTAATACGATCGTCCCTCATACTCCCCTTGACTCAGGTAGGTAAATTTTCTCACCTCTACTTAGTCACTTATTACTTTTCCTTACCTTTACGTCATTCCTTTATGCCTTTTTCTCATTCACTTCTCATACTCGGATGTTGTTCCACAAGGGACAACGGTAAGCTTTCCGTTATCCCCGACAACGGCGCCACCTGTCAAGCGCATTGGTCCGGCACCGCATCAGGGCAGCGCGGGACCCTCCCGACCGCGTCACGCAGGAGTTGGTTTATATCCTTCGTCGCGAATATACATGGAGCTTTCGCAAGCCGCTCCGGCTTAGTGCGCCAGCCATACCTCCCGTGAACCCCTACGACAGGATAGGGCCTACGCGAGGCACGACTTACCTCCACGTTACGGGAGCTGTCACCTCCCTTCGGTCGGCGTATCCCCGCCGAGCTACCAATCCACAGTACGAAAGCTAATCAATTGCAATCGCAAAGGTGGACCAGCCGAGGGCGTTTCTCGTTCGTTGTAGCATAGGGGGTACGGGCGGTAATACGCCTCTATCGGACCCGCACGCGAACCGCCATCTTGGGGGGCTGAAGTCCCAAGCGCGGCCTGTCGTCGGTCGACTAGGACGTATCCCACACACCACGCACACACCACTTTACGAACAAAAAAATAAAACACACACACACACACGAAACAACACAACACAAACAACACGACAACGCTCCTAGCCCCTCGGTAGCCAACCCATAACTTTCCGGTGCGGAAAACAAATAAGCGTCACGTGCGAGACTTAGTATAAAACCGCGCGGACGCAGGGCCTACTCATATCGACTCGCAATGCAGGCGTACGCAAGCAGTCGAAATGATGGCGTACTATGTAGTGCCCATAATCAAACGGTCCCTCGTGGATCCGAGAACCGCTTATGACACTCAAGTGTCAGACTCGAAGTATCGTGAGGGTCTAATCCTTCACGACATTGCACGGCTGAAGGAATAGCCGTGCGGCCGCCGCGAGACCTCCGGCTTTTGGTCCGAGCGTCTCGGTAGGCAAGGCAAATAGGCTCTGCACGAGGGAAAATCCCTCCCCTGCAGAGCCTAGGGCTTGGGATGTCCTGGACAAGGACCTCGAATCCCGGCCTAGGACCAACGTCCAACTAAGAAAAATTCTCAAGAAGCAAGGCAAAATAAACGGAGGACTCCTCCCTGGGCCTCTCAGTCTTACCCTCTGAAGTATGCTCTTTGTAAGGAGCTCATTAATCCATGCAGAAATTCACCCTACGTACACCCATGTATATATATATATATATATATATATATATATATATATAAACGGGAAAGTATGCGACGATCACTTCTCATAGTTTTATTGGGGTCCCTCATAGCCATACGTATATATGTGGTCGCAGGCAACCATATCCAGAGTCTGATTCATAACACATACCTGCAAATCACATCAACGAGTCAATCAAGCGGCCCACACACTACACGGAGTCGACCCCAACTATCTTCAACACTCATACCCCTTGCTTTAGCCATGCAAGCCCCAACCTCTTGTCCAACCAACCTTAATTATATACTCAGTACTTTTGTCAAATGACCATTCAACAAAAGTCTGGGTGAAACCATAATGAAAGAAAAGAAGTCACCAGGGCTAAAGCCTTTTGGGTTGAGTGTGGAGGGTGAGTTGGAATTGAGTCGTAAACCGACGAATCGGCAACCGACCTATTATCAGTGATAACAGATAATGATCCTCAAGGGATCAAGCTGAATCTAGTCTTGACCTTGAATTAGACAACCCAAGGGACCTATAACACAAGATAGGTCAAATGCCCAGGCTAAATCATCAGCATATGGGGGATAAACCTCCATAGCACACCTCCTTATAATACTCTCTAGCGCCACCTGTCGAAAATAATCAAACTCCTCTGAAAACAGGGAAATTTCGGCAGCGCTTCCCGTAGGAAAAGTGCCCTCTCATAATTTATATAAGCCCAAATATGAAATCAGAAATAACCCTTGACTCTCCAAAGTCCAATTTTGTCTAACTCCCTGAATTAGCAAAATTTTGGGCAGCACTCCCTTTCGAAAATGAGGCTTCCCATAATTTTACTAAGCCACGTATGAAATCTAGACAAGTTGAACTTTGAGAAGTCATAAATTTGACTAACTCTCCAAATTAGTAAAAATTTGGGCAACACTCCCTTTAGAAAAGGTGGCTTTCCAAATTTTTACTAAGCCAGATATAATGAAAAGACAAGTCAAGCTTTGACAAGCCAAACTTTTGACTAACTTCCTGAATCAACAAAAATTTTGGGCAGCACTCCCTTTAGAAAGGGAGGCTTCCCATATTTTTACTAAGTCAGAAAGACAAGTCAAGCTTGGAGAAGGCAAAATTTGACTAACTCTTTGGATTTGTAGAAATTTCGGCAGCGCTTCCTGTAGAGAAAGTGGCCTGCCAAGATTTATACAAAGCCAAGTATAAAAAAAGATCCTTGAAAATGCGAGAATTGACCTAAGTAAAAAAAAACTTAGCTCAGAAAATGCAGGAATTGAAACTAACTCCTATGGCTCTAGCACGTGGCGAGCGACTAAAGAAGCTACCTATCAAACTGAAACTCAGACTAAGTAGTAGCCTCACTCAGTCACATGCAGGCCAAACCACAAGGGTAAGTACTCTCACCGTCCCAAAGTCAACTTGAGCGAACAATAGTTCATGATCTCTCAATGATTTAACCCTTTATACCCGGCTTACATAAGGCATAGGTTAGGCTGCCTGAACTTACAGAACAGCTCAACTTAGCCAGGCCTAGAGTCAGAATACCTAAACTTATAGAGCGTTTTGACTTGGCCAAATATACACAAACAGAGGGCACAACTACTTTTCTCTTCTTTGGGCACACGACTAGACCACTCTCGTCGCCCTGGAGTGTTTCAAAGTATCCAAGTTAT